GATAGATAGATAGATAGATGATAGATAGATAGATAGATAGATAGAGATATATATATACTTTTTCATCTTTGGTACTTACTATATTTGATAGATAGATAGATAGATAGATAGATAGATAGATAGATAGAGATATATATACTTTTTCATCTTTGGTACTTACTATATTTAGTTTTGGTGTGAATGGAGCAGTTCTCTGGGCAGTTTTCAGAAATCAGCACAGGACTAAATAAATTGGGACAGCACTCAAGTTTGGCACAAACTCGTCTGCAGAAATTTGCTACTTGGTCTGATGTGCGTACGATCTTGACCACAGCCCTGTATGTTTTGCCTCTGTACCTAGAAAATAAGGGTAGGAGAGGAACGGTCAGACCGTTTTGCAGACTTGCTCTGTCACACTGGCAGGCGTGTACAACCTTTTGACATTATGACAGATGCTGTCATCTACAAACTTTATATTTGGGAACTACATGGACTTACTAACAAAACTGCATATAAAGGTCTCACAAAGTTTCAAGTAAATTTACGATTTTCTGTTGGGTTATGTTCACCCTGTCCCAGGGTGCATGTAGTCCATGGGTCAACCTGTTAGGACCGGAAGCTGAGATGTTCGTCAAAGGTTCATGTGTTAGAGGCAAGGCTAGCTATCAGCCTTGGGGCTTCTGGAAAGGGACTGGATCATGCGGGTTTCTCTGAATCAACGGAATTAATCTGTTAGTGGCTTGGCCTTATTAAGAGGTGGTAGAGACACAAGAGGTGGGGCCTAGCTGGAAGCATGTCACTGGGGATGTGACTGGAAGGTATATCTTGACTCCCGGCTCTCTTGAGCTCTGGAAGGTATATCTTGCCCTCCATCCCTCCTGAGCTCTCTACGTCACAGCTTCCATGAGGTAAGGAGCTATGTTCTACAGCGTGCTTCCCGTCATGATCTTTTGCCGTGCCCTGAAGCCCCAGAAACCTGGAACCCAAACAAGAATTTCTTCCCTTAAGCTGTTATGCTCAAATATGTTGTCACAGTGAAAAACAAAACCAACACAATGCAATAGTGGCCAGCACAAACATATTCCCAAAGTGGCCTTTTCTGACAGAACACATTGTGTGTGGCTTACATTTTCTTTTTATACTTTCTTGTAATCTCACAGAAATATGTGTTTAAGAAAAGCCTGCAGTGGGCACAAAGCACAGGGGTAACAGTGCTAAACCTGCTACGGTGAAGATTTCTATTTAACAAGTTTTCTCCGTGCTACCTATAACCTCATAACAAATATTGGTAACATGCGTGTCCCAGTTTGCTTTCTGCTGCTCTGATAAACACCATGACCAAAAACAACTTGGAGAGGAAAAGGCTTATTTCCTTTTATAGGTTATAGTTTGCCACCAAGAAGTCAAGGCAGGAACTCAAGTCAGGAGCTTGAAGCAGAAACCATGGAGGAAAGTCTGCTCCCAGGCTCCCGTTTAGCTACCTTTCTTATACAGTGCAGGCCCTCCTGAGTAGGAATGGTACCACCCATAGTGGACTGGGTCCTCCCTACATAAATTATCGATCAGGGAAACGCCCCACAGACATGGCCACAGACCAATCTGATGGAAGCGATTCTTCAACTGAGGTTCATTCCTCTCAGATGTGTCGAAAACCAAGATCAGTCGTCCCAGCATGATACATACCTAGTGGCCATGTTCCTCCAAATGAAGCTAGTGGGCATTTTCCTACTACTGTATTTCACTTTTTGAAAACTATGAATGCATGGTGGATCATGAATCTGCTTTGAAAATCTGTATCAAATTTCTGCCTCCCAAGGGGCAGGGATGATTGTGGAAGAAGAAAAGACTGTAAGAGCCGGAGGTGGGGGGACAACTACAAGCAAACAGTTTTCCACACAGCTGATCAGTTACTCATATGAACTCACAGCAATAGCAACAGCATGTACAAGTCCCATGTAAGATCAAACCAGACAAAACCCCAGCATTGACTGGGGGGAGGAGAGTAAGAAACTTCACCCCTAGTCAAGGAACTATTGGCAACTGATAGCTGCTGGCAAAAGGAGAAACAGTCTCTTTCAGGAATGTGGCTCTTGGTAGGTTAACCAGGCTCCAGGGGATGGACTCACACTGAAGGACATTTGTGGACACAAAATAAACTCCGTAGGCCTTAATATAGATCTATGTACATAAATAATAGAGTACATTACATTGGACAGGGAATACTAAGGTGAGGTGTGACTAAGGGAGGGGATTGGACTATGATCAAATATCAAAAATGAAAAACCACTTAAAGAAAAGCCACGCAAACACAAATTACTGAAATGGCATCTTGACAGGACGGCACAGTACATTATTGAAATGAGGATAGTCTCCATTTCTCATAAATGACATCTGTGCAACACAGTTAGACAAGCAAGGTCTGCCATGTGAGGAGTCGCAGCACTGGGGATGCCAGCAGCCAGCAGCTTCAGTAACCACAGAACAGTAATGAACCACAAGTGAATTATCTACAGTCCCAGAGACAGGCTTTTGTGTGTCAGGAGTATCACATGAGCCACACACAATGGCAAAGTCCTTCACCATATCGTGCCACTTAAATTAACATCTCTTGTCCCTCTCCAGGCTGGGAGAGTGGCAGGTGGCTCTGTGAATAAAACTGCCACTGGAAAAGCCACCTACCCTCCTGTCCTTCTCAGCATCACTTTGCTTTTCTCACACC